AGTGTGTGCCAGCGAGCTGCGATAATGAACAAGCGGTGACTTGCTCATAATAACCTCTCACAAACTACACCGATTTCTATGGAGCCCCTTCGCGGCCGTAACTGGCTTTCGTAATCACTTTTAGAGGTCTTTGAAGAAGTTCCACAAAGCATGTGAACATTATATAAACAGCTTTAAAAACGATGCTTAGATAAAATCATCGAACAATGTGAAATATTATCGACACGTCAGGGTGTAGTTAAAATAACAAAGTTGAAAATAAGTTAAATAAATTCGCGTCAAAAAGTGACTTTCTTGCGAAAAGTACAGACAGAACTTTGTATACTTATTTATTTTAACATTACATTAATGACGTCACAGCTCTGTCACCAGAGAGCGTTTTGGTTCACACATATGACATACTACTGTATATAGTAACTTAATTATTAGTTACTTTTAAACTTAATAATTAAATTAAGTTAAAGTAATTGTTTATTAAGCAAAGATTTTCAAATGATTTATTCGTTTGTTGCGAAATTTATTTCCAAAATAGGTATAGCTTACGAGTAAAGAAAAACATCAGAAATATACCTCAACTTCAATACAGCTAAATGACATAAAGATCAATTTCGGATATATTTATTTATCAAACGACCTTATGCTTGTATTATCTGTATAATTCCTCCGCGATAGATAAGGATATATTTCTGGTATCACAGGTAATAATGTTACTATTTGTAACACTACAAAGCTCTAAAGTACAGTATTGTGTAAGCCATAGTAAGGAATTACAGCGACAATCTTGCTCCAGATAACTGACGCTTTTCCAGTTAGTTGCTTGTTCGGTAACCTCAGGTGGTCCACTTGCAAAATAGGCCTGTCCTTTCTATTTTGCATTTAGCTTAAGAGCCGGTGACAAAATTGCGTTTAAATAATATCAATATTAGTTATTGACTTAGGTGGACAGGCAAGCCATCGTTCACTTATTATGAGTGTGTCCACCGGTCATATAACATCTAAGGCAGATATGCTGTCATCATATTTTAGTATAAACATTGTAATGTCCACAGACTTAAACCGAAACAGCAAAGCAGTCTAACTTCCAAAATATCAATAATTTCCAAACAAAGCCAAAGAGATTAAAAATTGAATTAATAAATAAGCAGGACCCAGCATGAACGGAATCCATGACTCGTTGACCATTACAAGTTCCGTTAGTGCCTTGGTACATTCCTATTAAAAGTTGTCAAACAAAAACACATCACAAAACCACAAACCACAAAACCCCAGAACTGATGTCGTGACAAATTTATTTAAACAAAGGGAAAAATCATTAAACATGAATGAGATTGCTACACTACGAAGGGTTTGCTACACTACCGTGAAAACCGGTCTATAAGCTTTAACTCGCACTAACAAACAACCCAAAACTCATTAAGAAATCAAACATTGCCAAAGTTTTCAGCGACTCTTAGTCTGGAAGCCGGTGCAGCTGTCACAGAACCGGTCTTACTCGTGAATTTATTAGCAACATGTCAATATCCATAAACTGGGAGCCAACAGTACTTATATCGCTACTGAGATAAATCGCGTCTGAAGGAATGGACCCATTTGTTCTGTTTTGATCAACTTCCTAGGGCAGTACTGTGTCTTTCCTATTGCGTCGCAATGTGCTTATTTCATCTATCTCTACACATTTCTATTCATTATGAATTTTAATATTACCAGAAATGTTTTACATCTGCCAAGGTTTCGTTTGTAGAAACACGCAATTTCCGTTAATACACTAAATCATATAATTTAATTGTAACGATAAAATTATTTTGATGGAATTGAATTGATCGAATCGACAAAAAACTTTCTACGAATCAAATCAAAGTCAATAACGTATAATCTCATACTTACAGCCGCCATTCAGGCCTCAAGCGAATCGTAAAACAATTATGCAAATGATCAACAGATTTCAAGTTATTTTATTAATAATCGAATAACGGGAGTTTGCATTTGCGAGCGAAATGGGATTTTATAAATTGTATTAATTGTTAGGCTTGGGTCGTATATAAGCGCTATAGTAACACGGCGTTGGTGACTCTTTGGTTGCACCTCCGCAATTCTATAATTTTTAATTATTTATTTATATATTTATTTTAAATACTGGGGTTTTGAAATTCTCAAAATTAATTTGCAAATAACCTATTCTAACTTAATTTGATCTGTAGGTACATATAGATTCCCCTGTGACCAGTTTTCCATCTTTGGATTTTGCACACAACTGTGTGGAGGTAGTAAACATCAGAGAAACGCGTTACGTCTCTTGTAATTTAATAAATGACAAATTTACATACATTTTACAAATTTGAGGACCCCAATTACATCCACACAGCAGAGACCACAGCATGCTGTTGTTCAACCGCCCATTAAACAAAGCGTGTAACGTAAAGTAACACGTAAGAAAGTACGTTCTTACCTTTTAAAGGGCGCCTTTGACGTATGGCGTGTACATAGAATAAATATTGACCAATAGGATCTAATTGTAAGCTACTTACTAACTTCTTAATGCGGCCTGATGCGTTATGCAGCAGCTTTGGCGTATATAGGAGACCTCAGCCTTAAGTCGAAATGAAACTTATTAGAAGGGCTGAAGTTTTAATAAAATCGCTTCGCCTCGAGCTAGTTCAAGTCAAACACACGATCCGAATCAAAATTGATACAAGATCACTTTCGTCTATATTAAAATATTTTGTTTGTTATTATTTAGAAGAAAATTGATATTGATTTTGTGTCGGGTAATGGAAATACTTAAGAAACAAGCTTAAATTTTACAATAATATTTTTATCGATATTTCTTATTGTATTCTCCGCGTGGTGCCAGAGTAAGAATAGCACCCCCCATATCCTCCTGTGTCGTAAGAGGGTGACTAAGGGATAAAATAAACGATGAACGGGCAGCAGCGTTCATTCTCGGTTTAAGATCTAACTGCGCTCACTTGCTAACAGTCCTGTAGTTCTTGATACGTATGTGGTAGCAGGGTAACGCTAGATTCAACTAGCGAACGACCGGTCGTACTGGAAATCTATAGGGGAGGCCTATGTCCAGCTGTGGACACCGAATGGTTGAATCGATTATTATCTTGATAATAATGTGTTGTAAATTTATTGTTTTCTTTCATTCATTTTTGGATCGTTTGATCTCTTTACAAGTAAATATGTTTAATCAAATGAATACAGGACTTACTTACAAATGGTAATATGTGTAAAAGAAGTTTTGAATCTTAAATTTATTCTCGAATTACTTTACTTATAGAAATGTATAATAACCACAGGTAACATAAGTTTGGCTACGACTCAATAAACAAGTTCTAAGAATATTACGCTTCATTGAACAAACTGAACACTTGAAGACATATGTCTACAAAATTCTGTTCGTGAAATATGTTAATTTTTCACATTTTCAAAACTTCGTCAAAGTTCGCGTATAAGTATTCTAAAATCTCTGACATTTTAAGGCCTCACACAAAGAAATAACATCAAATTCAAACTGTACCCAAATTTCTAAGCTGAATTAAATAATATTGTAAAAAACAATAGTTTGGAATTTCATTAGAAACTATATAAAAATAGATGGAAAGAATATCGAAATCCCGCGCGGATAATAACCCACCGTCTTTAGACGAAGCCATGAAATCACTTCTCGTTTCTGTTTCCGTTCATTTCCGAATATCAAACCTAAGTTAGTATTGCGTATCCTATTTCGATATTATATTGGTATTTATCACCTTCCTTCAAGTCTCATGTAATTACTATCCTCTCCCTCAAAAATGAAAAAGGAAAATTTTACAAATTTGCAAGTAATATAGTTGTCTAAGCATTTATAAATAAGATACTTTAACGGTTAAAAATGCGATATAATTATATTAGTTACACTTATTTGCTAAAATGCTTTCTTTCTTTGTCCCCCCGTGATCATGCTATTGCAAAGCATTTGAAACGTGGGGCCGTAGATATATTGATTGTCAAATAAGTTACTGTAGTAAGTTAAACTGATACATTTCGCGTTTTAAACCGTTAAAGTGTGTATATTTAAATGTGTACTACCCGCGTAAACTACTGACCGTATTTGTCGTGGCATTATCATTTGTGACGCACCTGCATCCTTTATTAGTCTTATTGTCTCTTTCTCATCATATAATAAAATTGCTATAAACAAAGCTTTAGAAATGCAATGTCATGATTTATTTGAGAGCGAAATTAACGAAAACATCTTACCACTCGCGCTTACCAGGTTTCGGCTAACAGATTGAACATCAAAGGCTTCTTAATTAAGCCTTACCCTCCATAAATAGCTTCCGAAGCAAAACTGAAATATTTACCCCGTCCACGACTGATTTAATTGAGTAATTTTAAGGAATTTCTTATGGTGGCTTTGAACACTTTGAACGCGGGATATCGATATAAATGCCTCTCGTCCGCGAAAATTAGGTAATTAGGCCAGTTGAGCCTTCGTAATGTTTTGGAAATTTCCTTAATATATAATGATTTGGATGGTGAACGCGCACTGCGGAGTTTAGATAAGGGTTTTCCATGATTTCTTTTTTTTTTTAGGTTAAAAATATTAAATGTGGATATGGTTTAAATAAAACAATATAAAGCCGTTTAAGACGTGGTGTATATTATATTAGTTAAGGTATTTTTAATTTCTTTGAATCGTATGGCCCGACTAATATTTGTCGCGTTTTAAACCGTTAAAACTGATTTATTAACTTATTATATTACAATCGTAATCGTAATTTAAATACATTCGCCTAACTATAGACATTACATAAATATGTGTTTTTCAAAATCGGTTAAGCCGTTTGGTTATAACGAATGGATAAACTTTTACCAATTATTTATAATATACCTATGTAATTATATTTTATGATTCTTATTTGGGTTGTTAGTCAAAACTTGGGGCATGGGATAGACATTATTTAGTTTAGTAGTCTAGTAGATAGGCGACAGGCTTACTCTTCGAAACTTTTATGAAGTTGCCTCAAGCTTACCCAATGTTGCAATATTTCAACTCTATACTGCTTGTGTTTCTCCTTCCGCCTCGCGACCTCTTCGCCCGTGGCCCTCAAGGGTGTTCTTGCGCCCTGCGAATACAGGGCGGTCCCGGTGTTCTGTTGGGAGCCTCCGCGTCTCGCGGGCCACGGATATATGCGGGTCGCGTTCGTGGTTTAAGAAAGTTGGTCGCCGGCGGGATCTATCACGCCACCGGCGTCGGGGTGCCCCGGGTAACCGGCAGGCGACGGGGACACGGGCGGGATAAATCGCCCGTGTCCTTGCTTCTCCTTCTGCTCAGGCCGCGCGGGGTAGAGCCGCATGGGGTACCGGGCCGGGCCAAAGGGGCCTGTGGGCCTGAGGGGCACCGGGACCCTCGGCGACCCGCTCAACCCCGCGCGACCATGGGGGCATCGCAGCTACTTCCCGGAACATGCGGGGCTTCCTTCAGCGACCGGGGAGGGCGGTCAAGTCGCAACTCCCGGCTTAGCTCGGGAGCGGTGGCCGCCTCCTGTGAATCTTCTCCTGTCTGCATCAGTGGCCGCTTCGGGGAGCGCGGCGAATGCGGGGCTTCCGTCGGCAGCCGGGTAAAGGTCTTCGTTGGGTGTGTGGATGTCCTAATATGCTTCGGGTTGCTAGTGGAATCGATAAACGTCCCATTTGCAACCGGGAATGGGTCCTCTTCGTCGGCGAAAATAAGTTGCGCCGAGTGGGGTTCTCCAGTCGCCTTGTTAGCTTCATTGAGGGGGGGGGGGGGGGGGGGGGGGCACACACCCCCCTTCCCGCGCGCGGCACAGACCCACCGGGTGAGACCCTCGGTAATCCCGAGGGAAGCCCAGCGAGGCATAGCCAGCGGCTGTATCGCTTTGAGAATGCGCCCGTAGGAATGCCGCGCCCCGGAGTCCTGTTCGGTGATGGTTTGCGATACATCGCGGCCGCAGCCTCAGGCAGCGGCCCGCCGATGTATCCGCGCACTTGATGCGCTCGTTCGTCCGGATGTCTGCGGTGTGGTGGTACGCAACGTAAACGTAAACGTAACGGGAAGCGTTGCGGTCAGGATGTCGTGCTCGGTAAGGCGCGCGATACTCGCGCTTAGCCGAAGCACAGAGGGCCTACAGGCACTGCCCTAGCCATCGAGCCCGTTCCGGACCCCTAGCCAGTCCGCAAGCGAACCAGCTAGTGGCGATCGGTTCGGGAACGACGGCGGCGGCTACTGGATGTAAGTCTCCATGCTTCGGCCAAGCGGATCTTTTTCACAAAAAAGACGGCTTAGCACAGCGGAGGGCACGTGTGCTCGCGGCTGCAGGTAGCCGTCCTATAGCTGCGAATGACCCACACTTGATGATACTAACACGATAAGTCGAAACTCATGGATACATTTAACTTACAGGTTAAAACGTAACTAAACAATTTATTAAATGCCCGAATATGATACCAATTACAGTCGCCAATTTCACACCCCAACCTTTGGATAATCTACACCACAAAAACTTAATTAAGCAAAATACATTAGGTAGTTATAAATATACACTGGCTCAGATACGTCCCTCACCTCCTTGGGGATTTCCTTGCTGATACTGTTTCGTGTAATGACTCCAAAATAAGGATACAACCTCCTGTTCTCTGAAGACATAGAGAGGGAATACTAGATGAGGTCAATAAGGTGAATCGCGTTAGGACTGGAAAGCAAGCAAGGATTCAGTTAGATTGTCGAGTGACATTTAAATAATTGATTCAGAATAGCAAGTATTTAATCAGATAATTAGATGACATAAAATACAAATGTTTTACAAAGGAAATAATAATATATACATTGCATTAAAAAAATAACGGTTTAATACGAGAAATGTTTTATTGATGACACCTATTTTCAATTTATTCTAACTACGATCCAACATTTCGAATGTGTTTGGGTGCGTTTGCTACACTATCGCCACCGTATTTTAAAAATATTGTAGATCACGTTTGTATGTGTTGTCTTGTGATTGTACTTATATTATTATAGAAATGTATTTTATTTTCAGATGACAGATTATAAAAATAGATATTTTCTTAGATGAAATAATCAACAGCAAGAAACACAATAATAAATTATAACATTTTGTTTCTTTAACCAATACAAATAAAAAAATAATAATTTTTATTTGAATTTATTCCATTAAAGTACATATATGTATAGCAAAATTAAAAATAAAAAATAAACAAAAATGTATAGAATTGTGAATACATTCAATATGTATAAACCACAAAGTTGCGTGATGTAGTTTTTAACTATAATTAAATCAATAAAGTAATATTAAGGAAAGCTAATAAACAATTACAATAATACAACCCGGTCAAACTAAGTATATATACAAAACAAATGTCAACATCCCTTTATAAATTACCATATTAAATCATTATAAGTCACAATTAATTTCAAATTTTGTGACATAGCTTACATATGAATTTTTCTAGTCTTCTATATCCGTGTATTTGTATTGGACTAGTTCCTTAATTCATACACGTCACGTTCAGGGAGTTCGCGGCACTAAAATATGCTCTCCATTTAAGTGTCGTTATTATTTTTCATAATATTGCGCAAATAACATGTTTTAGGCACGAAATAGGGGCATAATATAGTATCGAGAACGATTCTTACGGCTTCGAATGCCATGTTTTTAGCAAATCATTTGAGACTTTAACGTCATCTACATAGTATGATGTTTATGTCGCTAAATCTTGTTAAGCGCGAGAAGACCTTGGTTCGATACCCGAGAAAACAATATGTGTATGGAATGTGAAACACAATGAATGATTTCACACAAATAGTATGATGTTACCTCCCTAATAAAAAAAAAAGAGTTAATTACTAACCAAAACAAATGTATGAGTAAGTTATGTCCTACTTCTATCTGTCTATGTGTTACTTTTAGCTTCACGAAAATGGAAGTGTTGAAAATTGCGAACAATTTAATTTATCGCACAATCCGGAAGTAGCCATTTTGGAAAATTCTAGATGGTCACGCGAAACATGACCAACTAGTTTTTTATAATTTAAAAACCATTTCGTGTGTAGTTTACGAAAAAAGGGCACATCTATATGAAAAACTATTAACGGTTTGAAACGCAAAAATATGAATTAACGGAATGTTTATTTATTTTAACTACGACCCATCGTTTCGGATGCTTTTGCAGTGTACGCCTCGGAAACCCGTAATTAAGTTCCCCGTTTTTTTCCACATTACCCGCTGTTTCTTCGCTCGTATTAGACACATCACGTAGCCTATATTAGCCTCACTGGACAAATGCTTTACCCAACACAAAAATAATTTTCAATTCAATTCGAATCGATCGATAGTAGTTCCTGAGACTAGCGCGTTTAAACAAACAAACTCTTTAACTTCATATATTAGTATAGATATATAATTAATATAAACCCTCTTTTCTTAAAATGTTAGAACCTCTTAAACATACCATCAAAGTTTACTGATTCCATCGCTTCTATGACACATTACAAATACAGGTTTGACTTACCCAATACTTTATAGATATTCCAAACAGATTCAGTGAGCTGACTGACTTACACAATGAACCATTAGAGTATTATCACTATCACTCCATCTCGCCACAGTAATTCATCCCATAATCACATGTTCCATATCAGAAATAATACCAAACAACACTAAGCCTTAAAATTATGCAGCATAAGTGCAATAGTTCTGGAAGATGCGAATTAAAATTCAGTGACGCTTCCCCCTCCATTAATAAATGAGATTAATTAATCTAAAGTGGCGTTTGTCGTGCTGAAGAATAGTCGGAGCCCCGCGCACCAAGTTAGTGATGTCATTAACTTTTGCTAAATCAACATTCTAAGGTATAGCTGATATTTAAAACTTTCGTATTATATTCTTAATCAATTCTAAGACAAATAATATGTATTTAAATAAAACACTTGGCGAAACTAGCGGTGTCCTTGCCGAATACCAACTTCGACGGAACAGATGGCGCTAGCGCAGCAGTTTTTTACTTTGACGTCAGAGACACCCTACTTCTTTAACTCATCAATTAAAGTAGGTGCATTGGAATTAGTTATGATTAACTTGAACGAAACTAAAAAAAATTACTTAGACATTTATATATATATAAAATTAAATTATTACTAACAATCAACCACAAATATATTCCTTACTTTTTTATTAGAAACATTTCAGTTGCTGTAAAAATTATATTTGAAGATTTCAACTGAAGGAATCTTTTTATTTAATAGGTATCAGTCGCGCTCACTACAGGAAAATTATCATCTTATGCAATAAGTGAATCAAGATTGGAAGAAAACAAAAGATAACACAGCATCAAATATAGATAACATTATTTCGCAGAGACAATAAAGCACTTTCGATACGACTAAAATTATAAAACAAAGTGTAATCTTTCGAATCTATTCTTTTGTTTTGCTCTTACATAACTCCTTTTGTGTATTTTCGTTTGTACGGAAATGCTGGTATAATATAATCTCTATCATTTCTTATTAAACTTATGGCTAATTTTGAATAAGTAGATTTTGTTAGTATTAAGAATTATTAAGAAAGCCGATATTGTTTTCAGTCCTAGACAATAATTGTTCTGACATAATAAGTTAAACTTCGTAACAATATAATATGTCAGTTAGCTTGCTTATATAAAAACACTTTTAAAATCATTTTCAAATAATTTAAACTAATTGATCGCGTTTTAAACCGTTGAAGTGTTTTATTTAAACATACAAACTCTTTAGCTTTATATATTAACAATAGATAAGAGAAATTTACTCAATGACATATTAAAATAGATGTCTTACGACTTATTAATAGAAGTGAAAATGACAATATTATCGCTCTTTAACTATTATCGCTATTAAAAAGACTAAAAACTCTATGGAGGAGTTAAAGCCATTATGATTGTATGCAAAATTTATAATAATGATGTATGAGATGAGATGTATACACGTCAGAGAGCGTTTTAAGTGAATCTTGGGTAATAAATTGAATCGTGAATCGTGCCAGTGGGTGACTATAAATTTTGACTTTGAACTATTATCTGACGTACTATTCGTCCTCCAGCGGAGCACGGCAAGGTTAATCCGTACGTGGCATCGCTGAAGCTGAAATTTATTCGCTGATTTAATATTTCAATAACGGAGTGTTTTATGGAAATAGGCTTAGGCGCGTCTATAATATTCTGCAGACATTTACGGCTGCTAGAGGCAAAGTAGCCTAATAATAATAAAAAAGAAATAAATAAGGAGGAAATTAAAAATGCGCAATTTTACTTAAGCGAAAATGAATTTCTACTATTATTTGTGTAAGAATTATGTTAACAATCTCCGGTCATTGTGCTCTTGTAGATAACCACTTTTAGACTATAAATATAAATAACTCAAGGCATAAAATTTCAGTTAGGCTACTCTGCCTCTAGCGGCCTCAATCAATTAAACAATTTTAAGCGTAAAAAAGTAATGAACGACACATAAATATACCTAAGTAAATATGTATCGTTATGGTAGTTTCGTAATCGTTAGTCTCCCCGTGACCACAGCAAAGCATCCGAAACGTCGAATCGTAGTTAAAAATAAAATGTAAACAAGTTTAACAAACATATTAATAAGTAAAATTTTGTAATAGTTATAAAATATACGTTGTACATAAAACCTAATGATGTCTAATTCAATATGTTATTGTTTGTTTGGTATGTAGCTGTGAGATATAAATATACTTTTTCAATAAAGAACTAGGATAGTATAAACCACCATATTTCATAATGTAATACGTTTTCATCATTGTCAAACAACAAATTAAATAAAACAATTTTGACAGTTTAAAACACAATTCAGCAACAACTACAAACAAACAGCTAAAACAATATTTAACGATTTATACGCCAAATATACGGCCCGATGTTTCGCATTGGAAAAAAAATATTACTTGCGTTCTCAAGAAAGTTATAATCAAACTCATTATTTTCTTTCTAAAAAAAAAAATTCTAGAGATTTCGCTCTATCGTCTCATTAAAGGCAGGTTGGAAAAACACTATCAATAGAACGAAGCGATGCGGAATGCATTTCATAGAATCGTAACGAGAGTTCAACCCCATTACATTTGAAATCAATACGAAAACTTCACTTGTTCAGACAATGGTTTTCCTTTGACTTGTTAGCCCCTACGCGCCCAATTAGAGGGACCGTTGGGACAAATTCGAAAAACAAATGGTTAGAGCTTTTCTATATAGCACCTTAAAATTCAACGTGCGTGGCCGTAGTGAAAGCGATATTATTTAAAAATCGAAAATAAATTGAAAAAAAAATTCGACTCGGGCAGGACTTGAACCAGCATCGTCAGCGTTCCGTGCTGTTGCTGTACCAATTGAGCTACCGAGTCCTACACCTCATCGTCAAATTTTTTCAACTTATTGATACATGCACCTCTCGCGCAATGTAATTTCATTCTTAACACTTGCGTATTAAGGTTCAACGTCTCATGCTTTGCAGCTTAAGAAATTGTTTTTTTTAATTATATAGTGCCTTCATGTGAAATAGCATCTAAAAAATTATTAATGTTTTCGAAAGCCTGTAAAAGACCTATTTATTTATATTACTTATTTTATTATTAA